TCATCACCATCATCATCATCATCACCATCATCTTCATCATCATTGATTTTAGTTCAGACTCAAAGACAAATTTACTGAGAGAAAATTCAATGTAAAACAACAGTCGAGTCAGAAACGAAACGAAAGAGAGAGAGAAGTGTGTGTGTGTGTGTGTGTGTTCTGAGAGGACGCAGGGCTGAAGGTTCAGTCTACGACAAAAACAACAACATGAAAAACAGAAACAGCAGGAAGAAGAGACGCAGTGTCTCACACACACACACAGACACACACAGACAGATGGAGGCTAAAGTCCAGACTCACCAGTTCTCCTGAGACAGTTCTGTCAGTTACTCAGCACACACACCAGTTCACTCTCTGTCTCTCTGTCTCTCTGTCTCTGTCTCTCTGTCTCCTCAAACCTCCCAATAATGTCCTGAGGACATGGTGGTTACTTCATCACTATAGGGGAGGAGGGGGGGAGGGGGGACAGATGGAGGACAGCAGGTGGACTGAGCTGCCTTTCCTGTGCAGATGAATGATGTCCAACCTCTGGTCCCTGTGACCGTGACTGTAACATGTGGTTGAAGTGTGATTGATGTTTCCCTCTGGTCCAGACCTAGGACCCCAGCAGAGAGTTCCCATCATGCACTGTTGCACGATACTGTACTGGATGTTGCATTTCTGCCACCTACTGGCTGCGTTTATAACTACTAGACATTTTACCAAGCGTTATGAAAACAATGACCCTGGGTGGAGCCTTCAGTTTAGGCTCCACCCACATCAGGATTCACTCACCGAGCTCTCAGAGCGCTGACCGTGGATTTATCAATCCTGCAGTTGGAGAGAGAGAGAGAGAGAGGGAGAGAGAGAGAGAGAGAGAGAGCTGCTGTTAACACAGATTATGGGAGGAACATGAAGACACTTCAGGACAGGAAGAAACATTCTCTATGAACCTTAGTAACCTGTGTGTGTGTGTGTGTGTGTGTGTACCAATCAAAGGAGGAGATGAGAGAGATGTGGGGGGGGGGGGCAGCCAATAATGCTAAAAGCCTGGATATGAGATGAGTGTGAGAAAAACACACACACACACACACACACACACACACACACACTCTGGAGCGACCATCTCAGGTCAGGGTTCTTCAGACGTGATGCTCCGGGCTTCACCTGAAGACTTCCTGTCTGAGGGGGCGGGGCCAAGATCACAGTACAGTGTCAGGAGACAGAGGTGGTCTGTGAGGACATCAGAGACAGAGGGGACGCTGGTGGTCCTCAGCCGTCAGTGCCGTCCTCTGACAGGGTGAGGACGTGGAGACAACTTCTGTCCAATCACTGACATCAACAGACAGCTGGACATGGTCTGTGGGCCACGGTCAGTGAACCCAGTGATGGTTGACCAATCAGAAGTTCCTGGTTGACGGTTTAACTCCAGACCGCGTTAATGTTCACGACAGGAGACACCGGTCGAATTCCTCTTCTTTCTGCTTTGGTTTGAAGTTTGATGATTTGATGTGTTGTCATCATGAGGTCACTGTGATGTCATCATGATGTCATCACGATCGTACTTCTCCACCACTCAGACTGAACATGAACTCAAGAAAAAACAAGTGAACCTTCACTCTTACCATCCAAAACCTCCAAAGGAGACGCTCCTCTTCCTCCTCAGCATGGTCCCTCACCCTGGCTCCTCACCCTGGCTCCTCACCCTGGCTCCTCACCCTGGCTCCTCACCCTGGCTCCTCACCCTGGCTCCTCACCCTGGCTCCTCACCCTGGCTCCTCACCCTGGCTCCTCACCCTGGCTCCTCACCCTGGCTCCTCACCCTGGCTTCCTCTCTTCCTCTTTGTCTTCTTTTTTGTGTCTAGGTTTCTCTGCCTCTCACTCTCTCTCCTCCCGTCGTTCGTCCTCCTCCACCTATAAATACTCACATCACAGTCTAACGTCCTGCTTTAGAAGCTCTTACCCACTTCTACCTCACCCTCCCTCTCTCTCCCCCTCCCCCTGTTAGTGTTACTCCAGCTCCTTCTCTCACTTCACGCTGCTGCACACACACACACACACACACACAGACCTACAGAGAATATAAATGGACTTCTTCCATGACCACCCCCCATGACCACCCCACCTCCTCACCTCTCCCCCCTCCTCCTTTTCTCCGCCTGACGAAGCAAAAACGCTGGTAGAAAAACTGGGCTTGATAATGAATGGTCTGGATTCAGCGTTCGACCACAGGAGGAAGTCGTCAGTCAGATCTGCAGCAGTGACAAAATTAAGTCAGTTAAAAAGTCGCTCTTCAACATCAAGGTCAAAAGGTCATTTATACACACTCACACACACACATATATCTATACATATATGTCTCAAATTTCCTGAAAGTGAGGCGAAAACGTGAACAAAACAAACCCCTCAAACATCAGATACGATGACGTCATCTCCTCACAGAAGAATGGCGCTTTAGCCCCACCTACTGTTCATCCGCAGCAAAGCAGGCAACCGGTTCACTCAAGGCGTTCCACGTTCACAGAGACAGTGAGTGAAGAGTGTGAGGCAGCGGAGACTTTGGACTGAATTCATCACCAAGTCCTGGTGAAAATGTAAAAACGTTTTAACTTTTAACTGACCATCTGTTGGTACGAAACGTTAATCTTCAAACACCTTGAAGATTAACCCAGAAAATCAGGACAAAACAAAAGTCCAGTGTTGTTATTCACCGAGTCCGGTTTCTGGACAGAACAATCTAGAAACACACCCGTACATCGTAAAGTCATTTACAGATAAATTAAAGTGAGTTTTCACCATAGCTAAGAAATATATTTCTTTGAAAAAATTACTGAAAACACTCCAAAAGAGGGGAAAGTTAAGTGTTAGAAGATCGACTGACAACTTCATTTATCGGGACGTCCCTTTGGAAATCAAGAAAACGACAGTTGCATTGGCCGGGAATCGAACCCGGGCCTCCCGCGTGGCAGGCGAGAAATCTACCACTGAACCACCAATGCTTGAGGACGAAAACGCAAGGACGAGGGAAAATAGGAGGTAGCGCTGAAATGGACTGAAACTAAATATTTAACGTCAAATGAGACAAATGTGAAACAGAAATAAACAGATAAACTTGACTGGACCTGGAGTGACTGTGACGTGTTGTGTCGTCAGCAGCCACAGCTGATCCTACTATACTTACACTGACGACAGCGGCTGTTCCAACACCGTCCTCACTCCCTCCGACTGAACCGGTGTTTCTAAAAACATTCCCAGAAATTCTAACGACGTTCCAGACTGGAACAAACACGAGACAAAAACAAACAAAAACAAACACAAAACACGCTAAACAATCACCGATCAGATTTTCCTACTAAACGACAAGGCTAATTGGATAGAGAGCGCCACCGTTCGGTCAGCTTTAGGGTTTGTTAGGATCTCTGTGGGACTTTGTTATTATTGGTTTTCGCGGTCACTTGTTCGTTTGGACTTCAGGAACCACAGGTTCTGGTGGAAGCTTTACCGGAAGTGGTTCTGCTTCTGGTCAGGAAGCAGCTGGAGCTCAGTCAGTTACCGGAGCTACTGAGCTACCAGGTGTGGACCAGTGCTCCAGTGTACCATTGTCAACCAATGGTACGTCCACGCTGTTACTTCGGTTGAAAGTTACTTTATTCCTGCGAGAAGAAAAAAAAAATTTCCGCGGTCAAAATCCATTTCTCTTTCCGGGTCAAAACCTGACAACAAGAGTGAACCTGGATCCCACAGGTGACTGCACAGCGCCCCCCATGCTCTCCAAGTGAATTACACACATTTGACAACAGAACGCCAGCGAACACGTTTCGCTCCTGTGGTTCACAGTGATTGTTGTGTTTGTGTGAACCGTATATTTTGTAGTTTATTTAATGCTAGTCGAACACTTAGCATTAGCAGTACATAAACTACGTCATCACGTCTGTTTGTATGAATATGGTGACACTACACGTTGCTGTTCGTTGTGGGGATGTAGCTCAGTGGTAGAGCGCGTGCTTCGCATGTATGAGGTCCCGGGTTCAATCCCCGGCATCTCCAAATTTTTTTTTTCCATGGGCGGAAACTAAAAGCTCAGCGTAGTCGCTGTAACTTTGTCATTGTAGTAAAACCATGTTTGGACCCAGCCTTTGTATGAAGTCAGCTAAAAACAGTCACTGGTGAGTAAAAGATGTGGTTCCACTGGGGCTCGAACCCAGGACCTTCTGCGTGTAAAGCAGACGTGATAACCGCTACACTATGGAACCTTCTGCGAGCAACATCTGACATTTCCAAATATAAAGAGCTCTGTATGTACGTGTTGTTTTATCCGTAACTGGTCAGTAATGAAGCGGAGCCGCAGCTGTAGCTACGTCAACCGCTCACTGACGTCAGAGACAAACAAACTATTTAAAAATGGGTCGGTGTTCTGTCGGATTTGTACGCCCCTCCCCTTCCGGTCAGCTCTGAAGCGTCCTGTCAAACCCGGTCAGGTTCGACTAACTCAGACCGGATCAAACCTGATCACAAATTAATAACTAGACGCAGCCGATGTTTTTGTCCTCAGAGAAAAAAAAAGAACTGACAACCACCGTTAGCATCGTTAATACTGTTTATTTATTCACATTTATACATACTGTTTGATGTAATCGGACCAGACTGAGGTTTTTAATCAACTCTTATGATGACGTCACATAATACTGAAATAAATAAAGAATAAATAAATAAATAAATCTACTTCCTGTAGACGTGATTTTTACAGATGTGTTTCCTCTTCAGCTCCACCTTATCAATGCTCAAGGTTTTTGAGTTACTAACGTAACATATCACCCCCTGGTGGCTGCCTGCAGTACTGATGGATTCTGACTGACAGCTGAGGCTGGCTGCTGATTGGTCCCTCAGTCCTAGCTGACCGGATCAACGACCAGGACTTTACACTCCCTCTTGGCGATCTTGTCCAGTGACAGGAGGGATTTGTCCTGGGGAGGTAGGTACAACGGTCGACCCACAGGTGAACCAACAGGGGGCGTGATCGCTCGACGCTCCATGGCACTGCCGGTCCTGAAACCACGTAAAACCAGAACCTTTTAAAAACCAGGACCAGAGCTGATACATCTGAAGCCACACAGGTCACGTGGTTAGAGCTGACCTGACCTTTGACCCCCAGACTGATCTTGTTAATCACTGAGCGAGTCTCACCTCATGATGTGGGATCTGGACGGCTGCTGGTGAGAGAAGGACTGGGATCGACCCAGACTGGCCTGATGTCGGTCCAGCAGGTCGCGAACAGCCGGACTGGACGGACTGTTCTTACCTGCCAAGTCCGGTGACATCACAGTGACACGTCAGCGGCGACACATCATGATGTGAGGTGTTAGCTAACAGAGTGCGCACACAGGAAGTTCTTACGTGAGAGAGGGCGAGCGTCAGGCGGAGGGTTGGCCACGGACGCCGTGAACTGGAGCTTCAACTTCATGTGCTGACTCAGCTGAGAAGGCAGGACAAACAGCAGAGGTCAGAGGTCAGGGCAGAAGAAGACATGACAGGACCTGACCTGACCTGACGCCCACCGTTTTGTACCTCGTAAAGTCCTGGTTTGAGGACCTGGAAGTTGACGCTGAAGGACAGCGTGCTGCCTTTCCGACAGTGACCCAGGTTACTGAGAGGAGAGCGACACACCACTGAGGTCAGCGCCGCATCATCCACCTGACCCCGCCCCTCTGGAGTCCAGACCAGGCGGACAGCCAGGAAGTCCTGCAGGTTGTTGAGCAGGACATATTTGACCTTGAAGTGTTCTTTGACCTTGACCGTGCTCGGACAACTGGCCGTCATGACGAAGCGCGGTTGGTCCAGACGGATGCTCGGCAACCTGCGGACCACAGACGGTCAGTGACTTACTGACAACCCAAAGGTCAACCTGAGGTCACGACCAGAGGCAGAAACACTTCTCACCTGTAGTGGGTGTTGATGGAGTTAGTGAAAGGCATCTTGGGAGTGGACCACTGCAGCACAGCCACCAGGGGGACCTCCAAGCCCTGAATCACAATCACACTGTAAAAAAGGTGACCACAAGAGGGAGCTAATACCAGAGCAGACGGGTCCAGACCTCGGTGGACTCGTCCTGATCCGTCTCATTCAGGTGCAGCTGGAACAGGAAGTCCTGCTCCTCCAGAGAGCTGAGCATGCTGGGAAGGCGGGAGGCGGGGCTATCCACCTTGCAGAAAGAGGCCATTCCCACCTCACCTGACTGATGGCTGCAGGTGGAGAGGGAGGAGGTGGAGGTGATGACAAAAAAAGAAAGAAAGGAGGAGGAGAAACAGGAAACAAGAGGAGAGGGAGGAGAAGACGGGGGAGACGGGGGAGAAAGGGAAGGAGTACAGGACAATTTGGCAAACAGTGAAGTATTATTTAAAGCAGGGGTCGCAGCCGTACTATATATAAATATATTTATATATTTACTCTGAATACTGAACTGAATGTGTGAATTTTAGTCCAATTATTTTAGTAAAAAAAGTCTCTGTAACAATTATTAAAAATGTTATTACAGTTATTTTGACTTCTGTGCTTCAGGTTTTCATGTGATTGGTGTGTGTGTGTGTGTGTGTGTGTTGATCCAAAATGACTGACTTTATTTTCATTTTTCATACCAGAAATGAAAGACGACAAACCAAGGTGATGATTTTACCACAATTATTTACCACAACAGAGAGAGAGAGAGAGAGAGAGAGAGAGAGAGAGAGAGAGAGAACGCTGCCACAAATACAGCAGACTGTGTTGATGATTTTATCATTATTATTATTATTATTATTATTATTTTAACACTGATTTCTGTCATGTTTTACTTCAGTATCAGAGGACTTATTTATGACTCATTGTGTAAAGAACTGCAGCTGAGGTTTAACTGACGTCAGATGTCGTCATCAACACGACCACATCTCGCCCTCGTGACTTCATTAAACCGACTGTGAAGAACGTGACCCAGGGTCTGAGCGGGTGTCGTTCGTCTGAGGCTACGTTCACTTCACACCTCTTGTGGCTCAGCAGTTTGTTGATGTCACGGTTGTGGTTTCAAAACGTCAAAATATCGTGACACAGTGGTGCAGTGGGTGCAGTGGGTGCCCGTGTGTCGTGAATGTGAGGTGAACGTAGTCGGAGGAAGAGCTGAAGTAAAACGACAGATGAAAGAGCAGAGACACAGCAGTGACATGAGGAGACGTGAGGACCAGGACACGTACCTGTGTCTGTGGAGCAACAGAAACACAAAACTCAAACTAAAGCGCCCCCTGCCTGTCGGACCACAGAAAGGTGAAAATGAAAACGTCAAAACAACGAAAAACTGATGGAAATACTGAAATGAACAACATGGGTGTACAACCGCAGTACCACGACCTACCACACGTTGTCCACCAACAGCACAGAACCGTCTGGCATCATGGGAAGGTAGGAGGCGTTCAGGTTCGGCAAAATACGAAGGTCACGGACACTGACCTCCTCCTGAGAAGATTCATTTAACACTGGGGGAGACGGGGGGGGGGCATCTGTTAGCTGACGTGCTACGACATGCTAATCATTTCAACACAGAGCAGTAACTCTAGCTCTACCTTTGAGGACGGTCAGCTGTTTCCCACTGACGGTCATCTGCTTACAGCGGACAGTGGGTGGAGGCAGGACGGTCAGGGTGGTGCTCACTGTGGACCATGGAGATGGAGGTTACCATAAAGTGTCAACAAGTGTTGGGCAGGGGGCGCTATACTTCCGTACCCTGAGCCTTGAATGTGTTCAGGTCGTGTCTGAAGGTGTGAGTTGGTTCTCGTTGCTGTAAAACACTCAGGTAACCCAGTTCCTGCACCTCGGCTTTCTCCGCCTCCTTCTTCCACACGGTGACCATGACCTACGGACACAGACACCAGAGAGAGTTTCACCATCGCCATCACCTCCACACAGAAGCCCACGGAGAAAATCAGAGATTTTAGTTCAGACATAAATCTTAATCTGTTTGGTTTATTTGGCTGCCATTTCAACAAACAACAACTGAAATTCAAACCTAAATACAAACAAAACGTGGAAAAGAAGAAGTTCTCTGACCTTAACCTTCAGCGTGCTAACAGGAAGTTTGTCCAGAGAGACGGTCAGAGGGAAGATAACCTCATCCGTCAGCACCACCGGTTCATCTAAAGGAGACTGAAACCAGGAGCAATTATACGCTTGTATTGTTGAAAGCACATACTTAGCTTAGCTTAGCTTAGCCTGAGAGTATCCTAACAGTTCAAATCAGCCTCTAGGTTCACAGTAGTCTGACGAAGGCCTGTCCATAAAAATGTTTTGCTCTTTTTTTCCATGTGATTCCTATTTTTATGGAAACATAGGTGGCGCTATGAGATAAAGAAAATCAATGAAAGGACCAGGATGCACTGCTCTGGAGTCAGAACTGTACCTTTAAGTGTCAGGTCTAAAACTAAAGCACCACGGTACCTGGACAGGCGCCCGGCGGAACTCTCTGGACGACGTCCCTGAAGAGTTATGGATCAGCAGAGGTTTACAGTCCCTGAAGCTGCGGCAGCGAGAGTCCACCCTGCTGCCCAGAGCCGCGATGGCAGCCTCAGCAGCTGCGATGTAGTCCTCCTCGCCGTCGTCGTTGGCTTCGTCGCTGCTGCCCTGGTAGTCGTGGTGATGGTGATGCTGGTTCCCCCGGTGACGGCTGCCCTCGCCTGGACTCACGCTCGCCACCGCACACAGAGACCCGGCCAGTTCTCTCCACGCTCGGCCACTGGCCGACTCTGTGCCAAAACTTGCTGGTGTGCCGTCAATGCCCCCTGCTGGAGAGGGTAAAATGAGTGCACGTGATTCAAGAATGCAGAGGGAATCAAACCCTGATCTCAGTCCACAGAAAGTCCACAGAAAGTCCACAGAAAGTCCACACCTCTTCTGTAGTTGGTACTGTTTAGATGTTTGGTTCATTTAAATCTGTAGCTAGCTTTTAGCTAATTAGCCTTGCTGTGTAATTTACGGAGAGTTATTTCACCCTTCAAACTATTTTGTTTACCTGGTTTCGTGATTTTTGAAGAAAAATCTTGAATTAACGTTAGAGTTAAATTTAGACGTGTCGGAAAAACAAGCGGGAAAGAAAGGAAATTAAAAATGAACAAACGTCAAACGTGTCCTAAAAACAACAGTATTATCCATGTATTAACAGACCGGGTTAAGTCGTAGATTTACGGCTCTGGTATTTGATGAAAATCACATGGACATCTACTCAAAACTTTACGGTACCGTCGGGATTCTTCACGATTCTCTACAGTCTTTTGTCTGCCCCTCCTTCACCTCCTCCACCTGCTCCTCCTCCTCCTCCTCCTCTTACCGGTTTCTGCTGCGTCTCTACACCGCAGAACCAGCAGGAACCGGACCGTCTCCCCCAGGTACAGGTGACTCCTGCGGGGCAGAGTCCGGTACCGAGCCGGGTCCGATAGATCCGTGATGGGAACCGCGGGAAAATACATGAAGTATTCACACTGAGACTCCATCTCCATCATCTTCACCATCATCTGGAGCGGAAGTAGAATCTCACACACACACACACTTCCGCTCTGCTTTCTCACATTAAAACCACCGACTGAAAAGAAGGAGTGGCAGCGCCTCGCAGTGGCCACGTTTATGTACGACACGATAGGTTTCATTATTAAACTGACGTTGGTCAGTAACGTTCACCGGAACTGTTTTATCTGGTGTTTATTAGAAAATAAAAATGAACTTTTCTTTGTTTGACAACTGAATACATTTATTTAAAGCTTAAAAATATGAATAAATGATCAAATGACAAAAATAAGGTCTGTTATATTTTTTCTACATTTTTCTGATCAAAAATATTTTGGAACTATAATCATCTCAGCTCTGATGGTAAATATTTTACATGATGAGTTCATGTCAGTTATTGAAAAACACGAAACTTCATGGGTTCAAAAATAAAACAAATCCAAATCTAAGTGGTTAAATCATCTGTGGTTGAACTTTATTTTCAACATCACAACATTTACACACAAACATCTGAAGGAGAGAAGGACGTGATGAGACCCAGAGGTTTCAGGTTTAGTCCCCGACTGAGGCCTGGGTCAGGGTCACTGAGGTCATCCCCCGTCTGGTGACCCTGGCAGAGGCTCGAGGGTGAAACCCGCTGGTCCGACTCTGGTCCTGGTCTTCAGCTGCAGCCAAAGATCCTGACGGTTTGAAACCCAGCAGGTCTACACGGACCACGGACGGGATGTGAACCCAGGAGGTGCTGGAGGACTCGAGGTCGGATCGACGCCATCTCTGGTCACTGACTCTGTCTCTCGGACCCTGAACATCTCCAACCACAGCAGAGGTGCTGCAGGAGAACGGGCCTGACGGTTTGGTCCCTCAGGCCGTAGATCAGCGGACTCAGACAGCGCGGCACGATGATGACGACCAGGTACAGAAGGATCTGGACTCTGATGGCCGTGGCCTTGGGCAGGCTGCTGTGCACGGAGAAGAGGATGGGGTGGTGAATGGCCGACAGGAGACTGAGGACCAGCTGGACCAGGTGCAGCAGCAGAGTCTTACGGGCCTTACGGGCCGACGATTTGTTCGTAGTTGCGGACTTAGCCGCCAGGACCACGCCGACGTAGGTGGACGCAATCACCACAGACCCCGACGCGAAGAGGAAACCGAAGTAGGCCTTGCTGTAGAGGTCAGAGGCGGGGTCGCTGAAAATGTTCTGTTGACCGCAGACGTCCACCATGAGCACGGAGTCCAGGGCCCGGAACCGCAGGAGCAGCAGGACCCGCGTCAGCACGTTGAGAGCGCTGAAGGCCCAGACACCGGCGACGGCCTGGGCCGTGGTCTGGATGGTGACGATGGTGGGGTACCTCAGGGGGTCGCACACGGCCACGAACCGCTCCAGCGACATCATCGTCAGGGTCAGAGGCGAGACGCCGTTGAAGAAGTTCCCCAGCAGCAGCGCGGCTGTGCAGGGGACGTAGGTGGTCCGCACTCTGGCGCTGGCGATCAGAAACATGACCTGGCTGTAGGCGATCTGACAGGTGTCGGCCACCAGGAGGTTCTGGAGCAGGATGTAGCGAGACGTGTGGTAAAAGACGGCCTTACTGCCCAGGGTGAAGATGATGGTGCTGTTAATGTAGAGGAAGACACAAGAGGGCGCTGTGGTCATGATGATGAAGAGCCAATACTCCTCCAGCTGCGGAGGCGGACGCAGCAGCGTGGTGTTAGCCGCGGACTGGTCGCTGGAGCTCATGTGACCACGGACGCAGCGCGTTCAAACCCTGGAGCTGCTCTGAGGCTGAGGCTAATGAGCGGGAGGAGAGACCACCGTGAGCCGCCCCGGTGACGTCATCACCCGCCATCGCTGCCGTCTGATTGGTTGATGCTGACGCACACAGGAGTGCCAAAGAAAAGTTTCTGAAGTTACTCTGAAGCTGCGGAAAAAGACAACACACACACACACACACACACACACACACACACACACACACTGAGATTCAAACAAACTGCTGTTGACGGCTTTGACCAATCACGGCGCAGCTAGTAACTTAAACAGGAAACAGACTTTTCCTCAGCGTGGACTTTTCTTCTTTCCTTTCTGTTTGAAATAAATGGACTTTTTTACCAAATGTTGAATTCATCCTGTGGCCCACGTCTCTGTCAGGGGTGTGGAACCCCAGGTTTGACCTCCTGGGTTAGAGCCAATCCCAGTCAGGACAGTTGGTACCTCCCAGTGGACTCACCACCTGCAGGAAGGTTCGGGGGGGGGGGGGGGGGGGGGGCGGGGG